GGGAGAGGCAGGGAGGAAGCAAATTACCCTCCCTCTTCTCCTGCCTCCTCCTGGCTGAATGAGGGCCGGAAGCGGGGCAGCTGGAAGCAGGGGTCGGGGCTTTGTCATGTGCCCCGCCCCCCGCACCTCACCCGGGGGAACTGCGTTCCCCTGCGATCCCCCCCCGAAATGACCTCTGCCTGTATGTGGGTATGGAGGAGAGAGATAAGCAGGCTGCTTTCAATATAGTGGTGAATTAGAGAAGAGGATGCACTTCCAAGTATCTCCTCCAAATAGGGTTGCCAGGTCTGGGTTGGGAAATACCTGGAGATTTTGGGGGTAGAGCCTGAGGAGCGTAGGGGAGGGACTTCCATGGGATGCTATAGAGTCACCTTCCAAAGTAGACATTTTCTCCAAGTGAACTGATCTCTGTTGGCTGGAGATCAGTTGTAATAGCAGGTGGGTATCCCTACATCTAAAGCTATTTGCTGTAACAGGCATAGCTGGCATAGGCACTGCTCTACAAGATGGCAGAAAACACTGCATTAGATATCTGCTTTTCCTTGCATGAAGACCTAGACATGTTTGCAAGGGAATTCATATAGCTCAAAGCTGTAGCAACTCCCAGTGTCCTTCAGATGTTTAAACCCAAGAAAAGTGAATATCTGGAGAGGCGACTGAACACAGTGTTTAGGTCCCCTGTTTTGTTTCTTGTATCTTACTCTCTCAGAAGACAGGCTTAGAGAAAACAGCATCCATGTATTTGTGTACATTTTTGCAATTTGAGGAGCTCTGTGCAATTCTGTGCACAGAAGAACCCAACAGGTAGAATTCAGAGGTAGTGTAAACTAAGCTACTACAGAATTTTATGTAAAACTCTTTCCTTAGCCTTAAAAAACAAGCCTGTACAGCCTTTTATTCTGTCTCTGCTAAAGTAGATGCTCTCTGCCAAGGACAATTTAACAGGGTAATTTGTTTGAGACATGAAGCGTTTGGGCCCATTTTGTGCTGAGATACAGAGCACTGAAGGAGCCTTGAAATGTTGAAGAAATTCACTTTACAGCTCCTTGCTGCTCTTGTTCCCCAGATGAAGGGATGATGCAGCCAGCTGGAAACTGTGTGGCTGTGGCTCAGAGGGAGGGATAGGCTGGAAGCATTAAAGCGACACATCCCCTTGTTAGGTCAAACCTTCTGAAAGGTGACCGAACAACAAACTGACTCCATTGTTCAGCATAATCACTGCTTTGAGCAACAAGCTGCAGGATACAAAGGAGGGAAATTACTGCTTATCTTCCCTGAACCTCTCCTGATTGCTTTTTTACGTGCAAACCCCTTGAGCAGAGAAGTCCTTTTAACTCCTTAGAAGTCTGTGGTGCAAGTTCTAGTTCCGAGGCCTCTGTTCTCAGTCTCTGTCAGTCTCATGACCTTGTTGCAGAACTAATGACCTACTGTACTTCCCAATAGATAATTTTTTTAATTTAGGTGAAAGGGGATGGCAGAGGTGAAAGGAAATCATGTTCATACTGAGCAAGAGAAAAATATATATTAAGGATTGCCTGAAAAAACTATGCTGATTTAAGGTGAGTTTACAGAGCCGACGATTCACAAAGCTTTGTCTCTCTTATCTGTATTCCACATATGTTTGCATTAAATCCCACAGTGGTGAAATAATTTCTGACCCCAGTTTAGAAATCTAATTTTACTGTGGAGATTCTGTTGTCTTTGCCCTTTTCTGATTTTCCCCTGTGGTTGGTTGCTTGTGTATAATTTATCCAGTCAGAATTAGTAGGGAGTCTCTCACCCTATAATAGATTATTTTCCAAAAATTCGTTTTTTGGGGAGATTTTTCTTCTTTCTCTTACTAGTCTTGTGTGCTAATTTTTGATCTACTGATTGTACAGCTATCTGAAGTTTAGAATGTCTAATTCTGTATCCTGGCACTAGGTGTCACTGTTAACTGGGGTGTCACTAGGTGTAAGAGCTAGTGCAGCATTGTTTTGTGGCCAGCAATAGCTGTAACTAAGTGCCCTGTGTTCCTATCTACAAAGGTTGCATATTTTAAGAACAAAATCAACACATTTGTTCACTAACCCACATAATCAACCACAGAAAGATAATTACACATCTTGCTTATGAAAACTCACTCTGAGTAGCCTCATGTCTCATTGCATAGAAAACAAGGAACAGATAGTTCTACTTTCCTTCCAGTACTGAAAACAGTAATTCAAAATACATATCTTTCATCAAACATAGACACACATTCAGTCTTGTACTGATTCACTTCCATTTTATTTTGTCTTGCTAAGAAGAGATAGCTGATACTGGAGTCCTAAGCAGACCTACTAGGAAGTAGGTTCTGTTGAAATATATGTTGCTTACCTCTACTTAAATATGTTCAGGAGTGTGGTGTTAGTTTATCAAAGTTGAGATCTTTAAAAAATTAAATTACCTCTCCCTGAATCTGTCAGTGTCAAAGAATTCTGCTTAACAGAATACAGTAACTCTCTCAGATTCAGTTGTTATATTTATATCCTGGCTTCCTTTTTCAAGAGAAAAGCTCAAGGTGGCTAACAAATGAAAACTGGTGAAAACTAGCTAATAGAAAGGAGGCCTTACTATATTTCCTGCAGAATGGCTGATTCTTTATTCTGAGAAGGAAGGGACCAGGAAACAGTTGACCAGGCAGACTGAGAGAAGGAGCCTTGTTCTCTCTCCCTGTTCCATAAGATCTACCTTCATACAGCGGTCCTCACTCTGTGGCTCATGAAGAGCCACATTTGCAATTATGTACATACATAAGTGCCCAAGTCACACTTATGTACATACACACGTGCCATTCAAGTACTGACCCTGCTTAGCTTTTGAAATCTGATGAGATTAGACTATACCATGCTGCCTTCCTACACCACATTCAAAATTACCATCAGCCAAAAGAGCTGCATTTACTTCCATCCGTGGCATGAAGCCTGTACCTCAGGGAAGTTCACAGTTTCTCTGTTCTTCTAGCAGCTCTTCCAAGGTGGGAACCACCTGTCAAAATGCGAGCCTCTAGCAATGGCATTGCCTGCTTTCCTGAAGTATGGGGCAGGAGCCACACTGAGAAATAGTGCTCAGAAGAGCCATATGTGGCTCCTAAGCAACTGAGTATCAGTGTATGCCACAGTGTATGTCATATACATATTAAAACTCAGGGTCATGGGCCAAAGATGTAGGGCAGACAAAAGCAAATACTCTTCCAAACAATGCATAATTAACACAAAACTTGATGCCCTGAGAAGTAGTGATGGCCACTGACTTGGATGGCTTTAGGTCTATTAATGGCTATTAGCCATGATAACTGAATGAAACCTCCCATGTTTGGGGCAACACATTTTTGAATGCCAGCTGTTGTCTTTCTTTCCTGCCAGTGGGCTTCTCAGTAAAAACTGGCTGCCCACTGTTGAAAAACAGATGTTAGTAGCCTAGGTCTGATCCATCAGGAGGGCTCTAATGATCTCTATTCCAATGTCATTTTGCTTTTGGGGGGAACTTTTGTTATTTTATTTGTCTTATTATCTCTAGTGTCAGAAAAAGTGTTTTCTTGCAATTTTGTGTGTGTTTGTTTCTAGTTCGTCAAAAGTGTGATCCCACTGAGTCCAACACACACTAGATCTGTTCAGACATGTGGCTTCTGCTGAATAGTGACTTTAACTTTTCTGCATGACAGGATAAAAAGCCATATAGGGTTTTTTATCACATAGTAGCAGCTAGTCAATAATTTGATAGTAATTTTAAAATGCAATTTTAAATTAAGATATTATATAAAACATTGCTATCAGAATCCCAAAACAAATCCTGCCTTCTCAGTGTCCCTTGCAAAACCTCCTTCTTACTACACCAGTTCCTCCCTGAAGCACCACAGGGACTGCCACCCTACCCCCAGAGCCAGAGCAATCCTGTGACAATATAGCCATGCATGGTCAGTTGTATGCGATAATGTTTCCTTTGCTGAAAGAAGAATGTATGTGTTTTGAAAGCTTACAAAATTTTGACCCAATCCAAGAGAGTCACCGTGTTTTTTACTCTCTGGGCCAGCATGACAACTGAAATATCCTGCAGTCATATAACATGCGTTGGGATGGCACAGTCACTCTTAATGTAGATGACCCTTTACTTTTATGACCCAGCAAGAGAGAGGTCCTTGTACAGGCTGCATGATGAAATCTGATCACTCTGTCTAGGTCCTTGTACAGGCTGCATGATGAAATGCTTATCTGATCACTCTGTTGTTCCATCAGTGCAGGATAAGGTCAGTGTCAATATTAATGTTGCTAATGATATTTTTAAAAAATGCAACAGAGCCACAGAAAAAAGGACAGAAAAAAAGGCAAGCAACTAAAAGATTAGCAACAAAACAAAACAAAACCCTAGGCTATGTTTAATCACAAAGAACGAAGTAAAAGAAAACAGCATTCAGATCCTACCACTAAGCTATTCATTTCCCCTTACCGGTCTAGGCCGTGTTTCCCCGGAGGTAGTTCCGGCGCCCGCCCATGTCCCCTCGTAGAAAGTTTTTTCCCAAAGTCTCCACGGATGCGCACACGCACCCAAGGGAGCATGCGCACAATTGCGTTTTAAAAGAACAACCAACCCGTTTGCCCTGCGCCCCGCTTCTTTGCCACGCCGCAGGACTGTGGAGTGATCGGCACCTCTCCCCTACCACGGGACCTCCACGGGACCTCGATAGGTAGGTCTGCTCGAGCAACCGCACGGTTTTTAGCCCCGGGGCTAACAGCCACGTTCCCCCCCCCCGCAGTTTCCTGCCTGTGTGACCGGGACCAAAGATTAGCAAAAAAAACCCCAACACCCTAGGCTATGTTTAACCACAAAGAACGAAGTAAAAGAAAACAGCATTCAGATCCTACCACTAAGGTATTCATTCCCCTTACCGGTCTAGGCCGTGTTTCCCTCAGGAAAGATTTCAAGTCTCCTCCAGCCATGAGCTCCAGCAGAATAAAGCGTGGCAGCGCTTGCAAGCTAACTCCAATGCAGCGCACAATATTCTGATGGTTGAACTTGCTAGAAGAGTGATGAAGAAACAATGTTCAATTCAAAAGACACAGACTTGCCTGACAGATTTCACCCTGGTGAAGTGGGTTGTCTATCTAGGTCACTCGGAGATCAGAAGCCATTCTTAGGGTCTGGTTGGAGGGGAATACTAAGAGAATGAAAAGTCTTGGATTGGGAATTCTGTTCATGAAGGACCTGCAATACTGAAGCCTGCCTGTTTTTTGATAGATTGCCAGTCCTAGAGGTGGCTGTAATGGCATGTGAAGAAGGTCATATGCATATTTCCAGTCCTGGAACAAGCCTTCATCTGCTTCTAGGATAATGAATCATTTATTAGCCTGTACATTCGCAACAGTATTATCGAAATAGTGTAATCTACACATAAGCAGGTACAAAATAGCTACCCATGGCTTTTCATTCTGTTGGATGTATCCCGAGATGGAAAGGCTTTAATCAACTTTAATCAACACACCTGATTATAAGAGCTTCCATGAGGAAATCCAACTCATCTTGCTCAGAACAAACCTCTGGTAAAGTCTAGAAAAGAATCGAGAGACAGATATGAGCATGCTTTCATGGATCTTCAAGAACTTGCTGAAGGTTTGCAAGAAGCCTCTACAGATTCCTAGACCGGCAGGAAAAGCTTTTACTGATGGTTCCTGCCTGCTATACCATCTTGACTGGCACTCCCAAAACCTGGGTGAGAAAAGAATGCAGAGGAGGGAAGGACAGGTGGAGTCTGCAGTGCTCAGCCATGAGTAATTCAGAAGTTCTTCCACTAACAAGATTTTTGTTCAGTGTCTTCCAAAGATGAGCCTGAGAAGCAAAATTGAATGTTGCTGAATAGCAAGTCTGTATTCTTCAATTTCCCCCAAATACCATCTCATGAATGTGTTCTCCACAAGCACCTGATAACATGAATTCAGCTGTGTTGATTTATTTTTTTTAAAAAAGCCACCCAAGCACTGCCATTCAAACAATTATCTCATTTTTCACTTACTTTGACAGCTACTTGCAATGGACTGGGGTCACTGGGGATTCCAACCACTTGACCTTCATATACCTCCCCAAAAGCTCCATGGCCCAGTCCTCTGGACAAATCAGAACACTATGTTAATATTATATAAAATAGATCAACCCTCTTTCATTCATACTGTGAAATGTTCACATAGAAAGAAGTCTGAGTTGTGCCAGTTAGAGGTATCTTTTCTCTGACCTTTTGATTTTAAGCTTTTAAAATTAATTTTAATCATATAACTGTTTCAGAGCACACTAGCTAAGAGAATGAAATCAGTGAACTATAAACACATACAATTTAAAAAGAAAACACTAAACCAATTCAATACACATATATTTGTATACATAAAGTCTACATTGCTACTCACAGCAGTTAAATCAATGGCAAGATCTAGCAAAAGTTCTCACCACAACTTCACTGCAATTGTACACTCTATTAATTTTACCTACTTCTCCAGATTTTCCAAATCTTAGCTAACCTTTCCCAAATTGAGAAGTTCACGATTGTTCACTATTTGGAAACAGACCATAATTTTGCTGTAATTACAAAATTCCCAATTAATATTCATTGCCTTTTATTTACTGGACTGTACGCCAATGCATTCTTTACAAACAGTGTATTCCATGAAAATGTCTACAGGATCAAAATAGTTATTGTAATTAATTATGAACGTGCTTAAATAACGTTTTTTACCAGATAAATACGTTGTCTGGCACACTCAGGATAAAACCAGCTGCTGGATGAATACCAACATTGGGCCCAGCCATTTTTAGAAATGTTATTTAACCAATATGATGTAAGGTACCAGTTACACATAACCTTATAATGGCTTTCCTTGAAACTGATACAGGGAGATGCTGCTGAACCCATAGTGAAAATTCGACTCCATATATCCTCTGTTATTACCTTCCTAGTCATTTTTCCCCATTTTCTCCTAAAGTTATTTCCCAGTTGGCTTTGTAGGTCTATTAAAGCAGGGTATTTTTTTATAACATTCCTTTGGTTGATTTATTGCTCATAATAGTTATTTTGAAGTTTGTCACAGCAGTCTTCAAGGTCCCATTCCTTATATCTATTGTTATGTAATTCCTTAACTGAAAATACCAATAGCACAGAATGTTATCGTTATCCATCCCTGATCTGATTCCATTCAAACTCAAGCAAGACGTCTTTTTGTATTACCATATTAAACCTTATGGTGTTATATACCTTGTTCCCTCTGCTTGTGACACCAGTCAAGTCTGAATTTTATGGGGTACTATTAAGGCAGTGCTGCTGTTGGTGCTGAAAGCCCTTCAGCAGAGGAACCTGCTAGCAAGCAATGCCCTCAGCCCATTAAGTCACAAGCACAGAACCTTTTCTACTGGAAAGCAATGCCCCCGTTCAAGATGTTAGCACCCCTTTTACAGATTAACCCAAAATGATGTATTCCCCAAAGGCCATTTGATTATGGGGCACCATTGAGTACACATTCTGTGTGTACCCCCCCCCCCCATTTTATGAGCCAGAGTTCCAAGTAGACAAGGCTCATTCACCCAGCTTTATGTTGTAGCCCAGCCTCACTTTTAGGATAGGGGAAGATTAAAGGCTAAGTCAGTATGAGCCACCTGTTTGGCCAATGGGCTACAGATCATGTCCAAAGTGTGAGAAAGTACTATCACAGTGGGCACTACAGTATATATATGGAGCTGCGGTGGCTCAAGTGGTTAAGACGCTGAACTGCAGGCTGTGGAAGGTCAGTAGTTCAGCAGTTCGAGACCCGGGTGCTGCATGATGGAGTGGGCTCCCGTCTCTAGTTCCAGCTCCTGCCAACCTAGCAGTTCGAAAGCAAGAAATTGCAAGTAGATAAATAGGTACCACTTCGGTGGGAAGGTAACAGCATTCCGTGTGCCTGGGCATTTAGTCATGCCGGCCACATGACCACAGAAACGTCTTTGGACAGCGCTGGCTCTTCGGCTTTGAAACGGAGATGAGCACCGCAACCCTAGAGTCGGACTCGACTGGCTTTCGAGCAAGGGAACCTTTACCTTTACTTTTTACTACAGTATATAGACAGTTTCCTCCACCTTTCTTGGACTCCTTTAAGTCCGGTCTGCAGGACTGACCATATGGCTTGCTGAGAACTTTCCAGCTGTAGTTCAAGCTTGCCCCAGCCCCCCATGCTTTACGCCAGCTGTGGTTTCCATTGTGATAGGCTGGCCATCCATGCTTTACTTTTTTTTTAAAAGTATGATGTTTTAAAGCAGGGGTGGCAAACCTATGGCCTGTGGGGAAGGGTGAAAGGGATCTCTGAAATGGCTTGCACCCATTTCAGCCTAACAATGGGGCTGGTGCACCCATCAGCTGTTAGGCTGAAATAGATGCAAGCAGTTTCAGTGATCACTCTCACTCCCCCAGCTTCTGGTGTGTGTGTGTGTGTGAAATGGATGGGTTTAATGGTTCACAGCCATTTATACCTAACACCTGGGTGGCTCCACCTGTCCGCTGTTAGGTTTAAATGGCTGTGAGCCATTAAACCCCTCTGTTTCACTCTCTCCTGCTTCAAAGTTCCTGCCCATCCCTACTCATGACAACCATAAACTAGCACTATCCATACCTGAAACTATTCTTTCTGTATATATAAAATCCCGACTTTTTGAGTTTATTCAAAAAACTTTGTTTAATAATCACTCAGACGTTATCTTCCCTATCTGGGTTGTTTCTGTTTTTAATGGACAGTGGCCTTGATACATGTCTTGTTGCTTGTAAAGAAGCTAGTAATGTGTAACTACCAGCATGAGAAGATGGACGGAGACTTGTGTGTTGAAGGCAAATGGAAATCTGTATCCCCTTCAAAGCAATGCAGTGTTAATAGATATCCTCCCTTGGAGTTACACAAAGATGCACATCCAAATGTGCATCTGCCTTATGTCTGTGGCCCCAATTTCAACCGTGGGTCCTGCAAGAGATATGTGCATGAAATCTTGGTTGCACGTTCAGATCTACTTAGCTGGATCAGGGTGTCTATTGACATGGCCGTGCTGACTCTTTATATAGTAGGATAATGCCTTGATTTAGTTTGTGACCTATGCATTTCAGATCTGAAAATGGGAACATTTTGTATGGGATCCCAGACTTGTTTTAGAAGAAACTGCATGTCAGGCCTAAGCATTATTATTGTAGATACTGAACAATATTTATAAAGTGGATTTCAGGATTAATTATTTAAAGAATATAGAAAATGTGCAAATAAATAAATCATGCCCCCTGTTAAGATAGATTTTCTCCTGTGTGCTCATTACACCAGCTTTGTGTCACTGCTTATTCCAGTCTACGATTAATAAAGAATGTCTTAAAAACTGTTGTATGTGCAGCAGTAGTCAAATCCCATGAGGAATTTGGACGTCTAGTAACAGAATGTAGCAAATATAGGTCTCACTGAGTTGACAGCTCTGGAAACTCTTTAGAAATGTTTTGTTGAGGGTGGGTGTATTAATAGATGAAATCTGAGATTTCACATGGAAAGGGATTCACAATTGGTTGGGGGTATGGGCATACAGGAGAGGAATGAAAGCTTTAAACCTCTAGGAAACAGCAGGGGGGAAATGATCAAACTAAATACATACACAGTGCAAAACAAAAAGCTTTCTCCCAAGAAAAACAACTGACAGAAAACACATCAAATACAAAAAAAAAAAAATCTTTAAAAAAACCCCAGACACCCCCCCAGTTATTATTCCAGACATGAACAGAAAAAATACAGAGGAGTGGAAGCTTTCTGCGCCTCAAAGGACCACTCCCAGGAGAAAGTGACAGATTTTTGAAGAATAGGATGGATTGATCGTTGCCTTGAAAAATACATCTAGCTGGGGGTTTATCATTAGAACTTATAAATTCGGAACACAGAATCATCAAATTATGCAGAGGCTTACTTCTCAGGGCCATTCCAGACTACTAGTTTAAAACCATTCTTCTTACTCACATGTTACATGGGGTGTGTGTGCAGGTACCTTTCTTTACGAATATTACATTTTCCCAGGATGCAAATGGCATTTTCCCCCAACTGTGAAACAAAATTCTCTCAATTGCTCTTGTGGTTGCTACAAAACCACTAGACTCAGCAGTGGTTAAGGTTGGTGTCTTGGAAGTAATCAGACTGGAGATAAGTCAGAATCAGCATAGGACTAGGGGGAACTCTACTGGCCCCCTGTATCACAAGACTGCCACCGAGTTCATAACTACAATACTGCCCTGTCAAGTGTTCTTCAGTAATAGTACTGCAAATTAGTAGGCAGCAGGCTACCATATTTCTTCTCCTGCAAGGAGACATGGTGGCAGAGAGAACACGGCACCAGGATCCAGTTGCTGCTGGAGTCTCTTAAGATTCCTGGCACCTTAACAGCAATAATGTCAACAGAAATAAAGAAGTGCATAGCAATTGTAAATAGGAGGGCTACAATTTTTTTTTTAATGTTCCTGAAAAAAGGAGATAGCTCAAAGTGTGGAGTGATCCCTGGTCTGGTGTGTTTACACACTGCCTTCTGAAACCTGAAGAGTCAGTAAAACTCAAGAAGCTATACTGGTGTTTTTAGTGAAGGAATTTGGGAACTGGATAGTGTATCCCTGACTTCTGGAAACCAAAAGACAGTTAAGCTCAAAAAAGTATACTGGAGTGTTTAGGAAACATTGAAACAAAAGCCTCTCATCTTAAAAGATTCTAAGACTGTGTGAAAGCTTAAGAAACTCTCAATTGCTTGAAACATATGAACTGTAGTCTGAACCTGATTCACCTCAGAGTTCATTATTGATTTACCTCAGACATTTTACCCCTGATTTCACCTGACCTTTTACCCTCTATGATTGACTAAAATATTTTGTTATTTTTGAACCTTAAAGAGCCTCTTGTGTGCCATTTCAGTAGTTTAAGTTAAAGGGTTGATCTTGTCCCTTCCCTCAGGTTCCTGGGTTGAGCCATCAGCAAAATATCATACGTGATAGGGTGGGACAGCCATAGATCTTCAGAGAAGAAGAAACTAGCTAAAAAGGGCTGCTCAGTCAGAAAGGGAGAGAAAACCGGAGAGAAAATTCTGCCTCTGAGGGAGGGAAGTGAACAAGGTTGTCATAACATGTAAATAATAATGACCATTTTTAGTAAATGTCTGCACTCAAATCATATGGTGGCTTTATATGTATACTCTATTAAAGCTTGTGGCCAATGTAAAATCTTGTTTCAGAGCTACTTCCAAATATAATGTGAGAAAGGCTATGTTCTTGGGACAATCTGGCAGACAGTTCAGGGACTGTAGTTGTGGCCTCCTCACCAACCCAAGAAAAAGATAAGCTTCTCATTTAGTTTGCCTCAATGCGACCATTAAGGCAATTTCTATCTCTCATTTTTCTGAATTTCTCAGTTGGTGTTCTATTGCTTTTCTTACTAAGATCTCGGCCGCTATAGTAGAACACCCAAGGCACAGTGTTTATGTATTTGTGGCTCTCCTGCTATTGAGGATCTTTCCCATTACATCTTTGATTGCCCATTGTATTCCCAACCTAGGTCAAAATTTTTATCTGGTATTTTATCAGTTTTAAGCTTTTATTCAGTCCCAGAGAAGATTATATTTTTGCTAGCCGATGCCAATGCCGATGTATCCAATAGAAAGGCTTTATTTGCCTTGGCTGCAAGGAAAATACGGGCCAATGCTGTTCCTAGGGGAACTAGCTAATACCGATTTTAGTGGGTGTGCTGTGAATTAATTAACTGTTTATAACCTTGGTATTATGGATTTACAATGTTTTAGACTGTATTTTATTTTATACAATTTCCCATGTTTTATTGCATTCGTCTCTGTTTGTGGTTTCTAATGGCCTATGGCTAAATACAATAAAAACCTTCTCTCTCTCTCTACTAAGATCTCAGCACTTTGCATTTTCCATCATCAAGCATCATCACACAGCTTTACATGTTAAAATGCCCTTGTCTTGACAGCAACTATCAATTAATTTTGCTGGAGGTGCCAGCCCAGAAAGTCACTCTTTTCTGTCTCTCTCTCTCTCTCTCTCTTTAAAATATTTATTATATAAATTCCAGCAAGTCATTCTTATAAGCACAGATTTACCCACTATTTAAAAATTAAGGGAGGATCTATCATACAGATTTTTAAAAAACAGCGATGCTCCCCACGATCACTTCCCAGAGTTCTCTGCCATATTCTAGGGCATGGGTGTCAAACTCATTTGTTATGAGGGCTGGATCTGACATAAAAGGGACTTTGTTGGGCCAGGCCATGTGTGTCATAAAAAGTAATGCCAGGCAGCAGAGATGTAAACTTTATAGAGGACACAGAGAAACACAAAGATATTTTACCAGTTTCTGGGTAAGCATCAAGTTGGTGTGTCATCACTGCAAGGCCCCAGGTGCAGAGGAAACCCCACATAGGCAGACTGGAGAGCCAGCAATTCAGCACTGGGCTGATGCCCCTGTGCTGTCTAGAGTGGGGATCAAACCCTTTCCCCAGCCCACTCTCATGGTCAATGCTCTGAGCCTATGGCCCAAGAGAAAATATGAAATGGCTGGGCATTGAAAGCTTTCCCCCCCCCAGGTTTACGTAGAGTGACAGTGGCTCTCCAGGGTCTCAGGTTGAAGTCTTTCTCATAATCCACAGTCTGGTCTTTTTAACTGGAGGTGCCAGGGATAGAAACTGGGACTCTCTGCATGCAAAACAGAGGTTCTTCAACTGAGCCACAACCGCTTCCCCCCACAATCTAAAGTAAACACAAACAGGCCCAGACAAAAAAATGAATAAAATAGAAACACACATACCCACTGTAGTAAGACAAAGCATGGAGGAGGTGAGGGGGAGGCAGAGCCAGTCGCACCCAGGAGAGCGAAGGCAGAAGGAGCCCAACAAAAACACACACTAGAAACATAGACCTACCGTGGCAAGGGAAAGCACAGAGGAGGCAAGGGAATGGCGGAGCCAGTTGCACCCAGCAGAGCCAAAGCAGAAGGGGCTCAGCAAAAAAGAAGAAAGAAACACACATACCCATGGTAGCAAGGCAAAGCAGGGAGGAAGTGAGGGGGAGGAGGAGCCAGTTGCACCCAGGAGAGACAAAGCAGAAGGAGCCCAGCAAAAAAGAAGAAAGAAACACACATACCCACAGTAGCAAGTTGAAGCAGGGAGGAAGAGAGGGAGAGGTGGAGCCAGCTACACCAGGAAGATCCAAAGCAGGAGCCCAGCAAAAAAAGAAAGAAAGACACACCCACTGTAGCAAGAAAAAGCATGGAGGATGCAAGGGGAAGGTGGAGCCAGTTGCACCCAGCAGAGCCAAAACAGAAGAAGCCAGCAAAAAATAAATAAATAGAAACACACATACCCATTGTAGCAAGGAAAAGCAGGGAGTAAGTGAGGGGGAGGCGGAGCCAGTTGCACCCGGGAGAGCCAAAGCAGAAGGAGCCCACTTGTTCGCGGGCTGGATTAAAGCCTTAGGTGGGCTGGTTCTGGCCTGCGGGCCATACATTTGACACCCCTGCTCTAGGGTGATAAAAATGTGGTGATCCACTCACAGTCAATGCAGGGCACATCTTTAGCATGTGCATGTCCCCAGATTCAATCCCTGGCATGTCTGTATAAAATAATCTCAAGTATCTGGCTGGTGAAGGCTATTGTGTAAAAGCCTCAGATAGTTAAAGGTTGATAGAGCTAGGTTGGATGGGGTATTTCTGTGGCCTAGCATGAGGCAGCTCCACTAGGAGTGTGCATTTGGGCATTACACCAGTAATTCGCTGGGGCCTGGAGTTACCAGGTGATGATGACTCCCCAACCGTAGTGCCCTTGGGGGAACATATGGGGAAACGCGGTCCCTTAGGTAAGACCCTGACCATGTAGGGCTTTAAAGGTAGGAACCAGAACTCTGAAGTGGATCTGGTCCGCTATGGGCAACCAGTGCAGCGCTTTCAGCACAGGCCAGATATGATCCCGCTAGAGAGACCCATCAAAAACCTGGCTGCAGCATTCTGCACTAGCTGCAGCTTCCAGATTTGCGACAAAGACAGCCCCATGTAGAGAGTGTTACAGTAGTCTAACCTCGAGGTGACCATCACATGGATCACTGTGGCTAGGTCATCATGGTTGAGGAAGGGGACCAACTGCCGCGCCAGCCGAAGATGGTAGAAGGCTGACTTGGCAGTGGCTGCCACCTGGCCCTCCATAATTAAAGAGGAGTCTAGGAGCACACCCAAACTCCTAACCTCCGACACTGGCACCAAAGGTGCCCCATCGAAGGTTGGGAGAGGGAGCCCCAACCCTGAACCGATCTGACTCAGGCCCAGGACCTCCATCTTTGCCGGATTTAGTTTCAACTGACTCAGTCTGAGCCAGTCAGCAACAGCCTGTAACACCTGATGGAGGTAATCCGGGGCGGAGTCCGACTGTCTGCCCACCATCAGATAGAGCTGGGTGTCATCTGCATATTGATGACACCCAAGCCCACAGCTCAGGGCAATCTGGGCAAGGGGGCGCATGTATGTATTAAACAACATTGGGGACAGCTCCGCCCCCTGAGGCACCCCACACTCAAGAGGATGTCTCTGGGACCGCTGATCCCTGATCACCACCCTTTGTCCCTGACCTTGGAGAAAAGAGGCAAATCATTGAAGGGCAAGCCCCTGGATCCCCACGTCGGCGATGCAGTGGGCCAGCAACTGGTGGCCGACCGTGTCAAATGCAGCTGACAGATCTAACAACAGTGCTGCCACACCACCTCGATCCAGATGCTTACGGAGGTCGGTAGTCAGGGCGACCAGCACCACCTCCGTCCCATGACCCGGGCGAAAGCTGGACTGGAAGCGATCGAGGACATGTTCTTGAGATGTTCTTGAATAAAACTGTATTTTACTGCAAACATATAGGACTTTTACATTATGGATTGTTATTTACAGTAGAGTTTATATTTGTGGTCAGTAGTGCCTGAAAGCATACACTTCAGATACCTTACTTTCCATTCCTCATCTATATGCCCTCTCCCAATCAAAACCTGCATGGATAGATAAACAGTCAATACTGCTGTATCCATACAAATTGGTGAAATTCTAAATCAATATAAACTAGCATAAGCTTTGACCATATTGATGGGTAATTAAGAAGAGCAATGTTTCAGTTTTCATATGTGCAGTGATTAACATTGTCTAATTCACACTGGTGGTCTGGCTGATGTTTAATGCGTATGTATGCATGGAACAACAGGTGACCCCTTTACACTGTGAAAAAACATGAAATGATTTACGTTGTTGGGGTAAAATTTCAGTCAGCTACAACTCCAAATATACAAATCAAATAAAAATTTTCTCATGCCACTTCCCTTAATTCCCTCAAAGTTGATTCCTAATAAGCCTGGGCTTAATATTGCTGGTTGCCAACCGTGTTGCCTTGTGAAACCAACTCCTGTGTGGCTGCATTTGCTGATGTCACTGACATTGCCAGCAATCTAGGCACTGAGGGAACTCCCTAAAGGTCATTGCACCAGATGCCAGCATTGTCTAAAACCCTGGGCAACTCAGTGTCAATGCTTGATGAATCTCTTGAGTTTTCATATGATGGCTTTTTGGATCATCTACAACAAGCACATGTTGAATTTCTTGTCTAATCATCAGGATGAAACAAACTATGGAAGACCCAGCTTCCATCCATTCCTTATATATTGGAATGGCAAATACAGAAGACTATCTTAACTCCAGTAGCCCTTTTCTGTGCTTGTTTATCAGGCTCAATATACAACAGGAAAAGAGAAGGTACGTGCATGTACTGGGCTCATATGCATTTGTGTGGTGGAGTGCTGTTGAGCTTCTTTTGTGATGCACTGAGAAGTCAGAAAGACTTGTTTACCTTATCAGAGAAATATTTTTCCGAGGCACCTCTTTGAGGTCACTAATAGACGTGGTCTTTCCTGCAAAGCAATAATTGGGGTTGTAGTCAGTCATAATGGTGGAGGTGCGCAGCTTGCTCAGTTTGTATTCAGGACTTTGTAACTCCATTTGCATGGCTTGCAGTTCCTGATGTTTCCGGCGGTACACTAGAAACAGAGCACAGTGAAGTTAGGGATGCGGTCTTCTCAGTGGCCACTTCCCAGAATAACAACTGCCATCAAGACTCTGGTTCCTTCTCCAATGCTCATTCTGAGGTTGTTTGTCATCGATATTGGGATGGGGCTATTGTACTACTTCCCATGTCTATAGGTTCAAGAAATGTGGGGAAGTTTAGAAGACTTGGTGTGGCCCATGGCTCGTTAGACTTCTTGATCAGCACCAGTGAGCGGTAGCCAACAGCAAGGTAGAGGGCTTGTGCACTCACCAAGTACTACTGTTGGAAGGGGTGTATAGGGGAGGAGCCATCTGAAGTCACATTTTTCTGCTTAAATGCTTTTCGTGGCCCAAAATCACTGCCCGATGATATCACTGCCCAATGATATTATTGGTCTATTACCACTAGAGATGCTTCTACAGAGGTACGAATAAAGCAGCACTACAAGGTGGGGTTTCCCACTCTTTTGCTCATCCTTAGAAGTGCTGCTTAGGAATGAAGGCAGTACCTCACCACATTTCAGACCACATGCAAATTTTCCTTAGGAATATGCATGTATGTCAGGCATAAAACTACTTTTTCTGTCATTCATAAAAAGTAAACACCACAAATGCTCTTAAAATGCACATCATCTTTCACCATTTAATTGTAAATCTATGCCAAAGCTGGGCCTTTTGGAACTGCTATGAATCTTTTGCTCCCTCCTATGCAAACTAGGATGCCACTCCTGCTCACTGTCTATAGTGGTGGAGGGTGACTGCAGAGTAGGGATGGACACAAACCAGCTCATGAAGTAATGTTTGTCATGAGTTTCAGCCGGTTCATGGTTTGTGAGGTGATGTTCCTGGAAGGGCGACTGGCACGAACATTCCACAAACTTTGGTGCTGCTTTGGTGGTTCATGAACAGATACATTTCCAGACTGTCTTCGCTCAACTAAAGTGTTTACAAAACTCGAAATCAATGGTGTGTGTGTGTGTGTGTGTGTGTGAAATTCTCCAGCCTTGGAAATGCCAATAGGAGCCTGCCAAGCTTAATGCACACTACTGGCTGCCAGTAACAGAGTTCCCATTCTGCTCTATGGGATCAGAATGCTATATATCAGCTCAGCTCCACAGCCTTCCCTCTGCTGGCTGTTAGCAGTTAGAAAGAGAGGCAGGGAACTTGTCAAGATCAGAGCACATTCCTTTATTCTGGATTGTGAACACCTCTTCTCTGCTGGGGTTTGGGGATGTTAGGTGGACTCAGGGCTCTGAGCCAACCCATCTCTCTGCTCACACTGAGCAGTGGGGCTTAACTTAACAGTGGGGCTGAGTACCCACATTTTATATCCTCCTGATTGTGAACTCCTCTACCCTGCTGAGGTTTGGGTGTTAGATGGGCTCAAGACTCTGAGCCACCCTGTTTTGCTGCTCATGTTGAGTGCCTCGGCTGAGAGGACCCATGTTTTATACCCTCCTGACTTTCCTCTCCTCTCCTCTGCTGGGGTTAGGGTGTTACGTTGATTCAGGGTTCATGGTCACACAAAAGAGATTGGGCCAGTTGACAGACTTGCATGACCAGTATTCCAGGGGGTCAGTAGGCTCAGGGGACTTGGCGAGGTACTCCCTCACAATCACCTCTGCCGAATCCTCCACCATTGCACACCTGGCATCCCCGCCGTCAGTGACCTCCCAGTTCACTACTGACAATCAGTAGTGGGGCTTCTCCTTGGTTGGGCTCTTTGAGGCAGAGGTGCTGGGTTGTGGCTTTTCCTCCTCTTCCCCAGTGTCTTCCATGCACTGTTCCTTCTGGGCATATCTGCTGGCCTGTAGCCTCTGCACTTGCAGCACTCACACTTCCATTGCTAGAGCTCTGCATTCAGGAGAGCAATGCTGCCTTTTACCTGGTATTCACAGATATAGGCCAGCTTGTACTTCCCTTTCTTGCAGAGAGGATGCAACCTGGTGGTGATGCCCATCTGTAAACTCTCTGCCAAGGCCCTGACCTGTGGGAGAACAGGTGGCTCCAATGCAGAGGCCAGCGCCTGGTCCAGCCCTCAAATCTGGGGGACGACTTGCCCCAGGCTGGCTGTATCGGTGCAGAGCATGTTGATGGTGTCCTGGACATGCACCATTTGGGAGAGGGTCAGCCAGACACTGGAGCTGATGCTGAGCTAATCTTCCCCGTGCAGGATGGTCCTGGAGGAGATAACATCCTGCACCACACTCTTCTGCTCCACCAAATGTGCAATCATGGTGTAGGCGAAGTTCATCCCCCTTGCGCAGCAGATGGGAAGACTTGATGATGTGTGTGCTCCACCAAATGTGCAGTCATGGTGTAGGTGAAGTTCCTCATCCCCCTTGCGCAGCAGATGGGCAGACTTGATGATGTGCGAGAAGTGAGTTACCAGGCTTGAGCAGGTCTCGAGCAAAGACTGTGTCTCAAGGGGTGCAGCATCTCAGGTGGCCTTGACAGTGCTCCCCAGCTAAAGTGTGTGCACCAGACAGATGATGCCCTTGAGGCACACATGCTTCGCCAGCATGTTGGAGCTGGCATCCATGACCATGTAGCCATTGACAATGTTGCCACCACCTATCACCTCCCTCAGGCTACTCTGTATCACATGACAGCGATATTTTGTGCTGTGTGGTCTGCATCCATCCCCTACACATGGAGCAGAATTATTTTGTAGCCCGGTGGCAGGACCGTTCCCTCCTGGGGCCTGGGCCATGTCCTTACAGTCCTGCTGGCTGTTCCAGAGGTCTTCCATGAAGTGCATCATTCTGCCTTGCACTCTGGAGAGCTAAGCCTTGACCATTGTCACTGCAGCTGGCAAATGGCTGCATCCTCCATGAAGGAGAAGGGTTGGCCATCCACAGCAATCATCTCGCTGATGAGGAGGTGAGTGACTGCTTCCTAGGCCATTCACATAGCACTTTTGACCTCCTGGAGGGTGGCCCACCTTGATGTCCCGCCCATGTGCATGGAGCCTTTCTTGGAGGAGCCTCCTGCTACCCCTCTGCTTCTCCCTGCTAAGTGGGAGTGGGACTATTTTTCCTCCTGCTAGCTCCCACGCCTTCCTCCAGGGGCAACATAGTTGGGTACACCCTTTGCAGGTGCCTGGAGAAGACAGAGGAGAACAAGTGTTGGGGTTTGCACCCCTCTGGACATGGGTGTGGCACACCTGACACTCTGCCACACAGGGATCACTAGGGAGGGTGTGGAAATGTTTCCAAACTTTGGGATCCCCCTCCCACCCTCTGAACCACTGCTCTCAGAGTCCTCCTCTCCAAAGAGCAACTACTGTTGTCTGGGCAGTGCTAGCAACTCTGTTGCCTCTGTGGAGAGCCCCAGGAACAGATCAGGGAAAGGAGGCTTTGAGACCCCTGGTGGTGCCCTGCTAAGGCCAGGCTGCAGTGGGCTGGCAGGATGGGTTTGGTACCTGAGAATGGGGGCCTGTGGTATGTGGGGGGATGAAGGATTTCCCCCACCACCACAAGCACCTTTTGCACCCATTTTCACCCTCACGGCACACAGAGGTTTCAGGAATTTAAAGCAAGCAGAGGAGTGGCTTTTAACAGTACTAATGTAAAGTAGTAACTGGAGCAATCCTGAGAGCTTGCTTCAAACGCCACTCTTCTGCTTCTTTTGCTCGTGTGGTGTGGATAGGATGCCTGCCAAGCTGTCGTGGGGTTTTTTGGGGGGAAGCCCTGTCAGAACTCTGGGTGATATCTGCCTTTCTGCCTTTGGAGGCTTCTGGGGGGAGGAGGCTGCGAGGGTAGGGGAAGGCTTGTTTTGCTTCCAGTGTCTGGCTGGAGGGGTCTACCTAAGTGAAGTTTCCCAGTAAGTTTGGTGTCACTGGCTTGTTCCTGAGCCCTTCCATAGACTCCTGTAACTGCAGCTGTCTTTTCCAGAGAGAGCACTGGGGAGATCTTTTGGGTGTGTGTGTAACTGAGACCCCAGAAATGTAATCTGTACCCAAATTGGAGAGATTGTAGAAGAGCAGGTGGCAGGGTGAGGTTCCCTGTGTGTTTGGTGCATGTAGCTTGCAGTGGGTCCATTCTATACACTTTTGAACCTGTCCCTGACATTTCCCCCAAAAACGCTTTCCTGGCATGACCTTAGTCCTGTTGGGTTTGCACTGCCATATGTTCTATTGGGCTTGCAAAAATGCCCCCCTCCCAGTTTCTACTGCAAAGATTCTCTGGGTTGATCTTAATGCTTTTGGGTTTGCTGTGCCACAGTGGCACTGGTTCTGCTGGACACATTGCACTGGTTCTGCTGGGCTTGCAAGTGTCCCCCACCTTCAGTGTCTACTGCAGAGATTCTCAGGGACTTTGATTCTGTTTTGCTGGGCTTCTAGTGTTTTTTTGCTGTCCCCCCCCTCCACTGGAAACAATGGAGGACGGAGACACCTTCTTTGGGGGGGCTATAGCTCAGAACCCATAAATTCCCTCCTACCCAAACTTGGAGAGCAGGTAGAAAAGAGGCAACCAGAGATCCCTAGTGAGTTTGGTGTCTCTAGCTTGCACAGGATCTGCTCTATACACTCCTGAACCTCCTGAACCTGCACTGTTATTTCCCCAGAAAGCAGTTTCCTGGGGGCAACTTCTTTGGGGGGCACTAACTTGGACCCCGTCAATCTAATCTTCATCAAACATGGAGGGCTGGTAAAGGAGAGTCAGCCAGAGATCCCCTGTGAGTTTTGTGTCTCTAGCATGCCGGGGGGGGGTTTCTACCACATCACAAACCTCATGAAGCAAATAGGTTCATTTAGCACCAAAAAGTTCCTGACAGTCCATGGTTCACAAACCAAGCATGTTCACAAACCAAAAACTGAAGCACATTCTCCCCATTCATGCCCATCCCCACTGCAGAGACCCTGGCTCCCTTCTCTTGTAGCAAAGTATACATCCCAGCATGGACTCTAGAGAGCCAAATCATTTATTGCAGAGATATTTGTGAAGTATTTCATTAGGTTTTCCAGCTAGTTTTCTTTACTGTTTTTTCC